GTTATCTGGGTTATTAGACTAAAAAAAAAGAAATGTATGTGTTTTTTCAGTTTTTCAAATATTTCAATACAAATCAAAGCTGTTATTTATTTCATAACAAATTTGACCCAGGAGATTTAACTGCAGGATAATTTCAGCTCAGTCTTGAAGACAATAATAATTACCAACAGTATTTAGGCTATTCTTGCTCAGAAATATTTGGTAATCTGTGCAATTCTCTCATATTAAAACATAACCAGGGACACCCACAGATCTCACGATCCATCTGTTGCAGGCTGTCACAGCATGTAGGCAGTTAAAGTCAGACCATAGCTGCACTTGCTTGCCCACCTTGATCAAAGTCGTGACACACTGGATCATTCTGTCTCCTCTTAGATGCCACAGTGCACCCACCTGTTTCTGAAACACACCCCTACGAGAACGTGGACCCCACCAGCATGCCCCCTGATATGGGTTACGGCTGTAAGATGGTGGATGGTGTTATGCACTTGTACACGACGAGGAACACTATGGATAAGTGAGATATCTGTCGGGAATCTTTTACTTTCTGCACACATGCTTCGTCCTCACTGTGACTAGATTCATGTCTGTTTTTACACTTGAGTTCACACATTTTGCTTGCAGGAAAGAGTGTTTTAGTTGTTATGTTGCCTACAGGACCACAGAGCTGGATCTGCCGTATCCAGACCTGCAGGAGTACATCGCTGATATGAACGTCATGATGGCTCTCATTATAAACGGGCCAGTGTAGGTTTCTCACATTTTTAATAAATTATTAATTTAACCTTATAGTTAAAAAATAGATTCTCAAACAGGATCAACAGAAGTTTATTTTCAGACTGTCACCATCATTTGTCTTTCTTTTGGCTTTGCCGCAGAAAGTCCTTCTGCTATAGACGTCTGCAATACCTCAGCTCCAAATTCCAAATGCACATCCTGCTCAATGAGATGAAAGAGCTGGCAGCGCAGAAGAAAGTCCCACATCGAGACTTTTATAATATCCGTAAGGTGAACTTGAGAGCTTTTCTGTTTCACCCAGTCATGGTTAGTGTTGTTAAATCCAGAAGCAGACTGCAGTATCTTAGATGGTTTATGTTCCCTGTTTGTCTGACTTGTTCTGCAGGTTGACACGCACATTCATGCTTCCTCTTGCATGAACCAGAAGCACCTTCTACGTTTTATCAAAAGAGCCATGAAGAAGTATCCCAAAGAGATTGTACACGTGGAAAGAGGCAGGGGTCAGACACTGATGGAGGTGTTTGAGAGCATGAACCTTACAGCCTTTGACCTGAGTGTTGACACACTGGA